GAAAAAAATAGGAAATAACTCTTAAAAATAAGAGTTATCAACCTTCAAGTTTCCTTCTTCAGCGTCCGCCTTGCCTTTCTACTTGGGGCCCTGGTTCCCTGATGGAGTCGATTCACCTTGCCTTTGCTCCCCCTGGGATGCGGAATCCCTAAGAGTAACACCTTTGGTGATGGTTGATGGCTTCTAGAAATTGATGGTAAAGTCATCTTCATCATCATCGTCGTCGTTGCCTTCTAGATCATTTTCGGTGTCTGGAATGGTAGGTTCATCATCGTCTTCATCATCATCTTCGTCATCATCATCATCATCATCACCAGCAGCAGTAGTGATGGTATGGGCATCATCCCTAGGGATGGCATCGACGACCTCAGCTGGAGCAGCTTTGGTGGTCGTGATTATAGGAGCAGCAACTGCTTCAGCTCTGAGAGCCTCAGCTTCAACTGCAACTGTAGCTGATACTGGACCAATAACCTGAGAAGGAGTAAGCACAGCATCAGATGATTCACCAGTGTTGGATCTCATCTCCCCCTCTCTGGCTAAGACGTGAGAGAATTGGCCAGAGAGTTCGTCCAAGCGCTGACGCTGGAGAACCATTACATCCTCTACCTTTGCAAAGCACTGGCTAGAGTTGTCGTTGCCTCACGCGTCTCATGGAGCTGGGCGCGATCACTGGCAGAGAAAGAAGGAGGGATCACTGGAGCTGGTTGACGAACAGCATCCAGGATCTGTTGAAGAAGGCCAGTCTGCTGATCAGCAATAGGCTGAGCATCGTCAGCCCTGCAATGAAGAACAGCAATGGCATCGTTGTTGGCTTGAACAGCTTCTTGGAGAGTCTAGAGATGACTCTGAACTTCTTGAACGTCTGCCTGGATGGCAAGGAAGTTCGCATCAAGATCACCTTGGCAGGGCATCTCTTGGTGGACTTTGTTGATCCTACAGAGGACGGTATCAACAGATGGAAGGAGAAGTTTGATGTCTAATGCCATATCATAGGCATCATCGATCTCTTCATCTCCTCCATCATCTTTCTCTCTTTCTCCTCTATCATCTTTCTCTCTTTCTTCCACTTCCACTTCCTGAGCATCAGACTGATGCATCGAAGAAGGACCTGTAAAAGAAGAAGTGTGAGCTGAAAGCTCAAGGTTAGAAGAAAAGAAAGGGTAGGAAGATAAAATACCTAAGGGGCCATCAGTGACACAATAGGATTGTCCCTGGCGTAAGCAAAGATGTCCTCGAGAGGATGGACATCAGTATGCAGAGGAGCATCGAGAGGAGCAACCTTAGGTCCAGTGGTGCGTGTCTCAATATCGGGCGGTGACTGATTCTCTTTTTCAACTTTGCTTCACTCCATCGCTTGTCCTTTTCCGCTAGCTTCAGGTTCTTCTCATGCTCAACTTCTGCAATAGAAAAAAGTTTAGCCTGGACTTGGACAGCGTTCACCGTTTTCTTGGACTTTTTCTTGGGAAGGACTTCTTCAGCTACTGACTTGGCCAGCTTCAAGCTGTTTTCAGTCTGCTTCTTTTGAAGCTCTAGCTCTTCTTCAGCCCTTAATGCCTTGAGTCTTTCAGCTTCAGACAAGAAGTCAAACTCACCACCACTAA